CTGGAACCACTAATTATAAGTCAGGTACAATAGCAGACCTTCGTGGCAGGTTCTGATGACTGCTAGCAACTGTTTACAACATGAACCTGTCTCTTTGGGCCTAAACACTTCAGTTTTAAATTTCACCTTATCTTTTATTATCCATATACTAGGGTACCACTGTGGTATACACTATAGCACTATGTATAACACTAGGGTACCACTGTGGTATACACTATAGCACTATGTATAACACTAGGGTACCACTGTGGTATACACTATAGCACTATGTATAACACTAGGGTACCACTGTGGTATACACTATAGCACTATGTATAACACTAGGGTACCACTGTGGTATACACTATAGCACTATGTATAACATACTATTATCAGGGAAACTGTCTTTCCTCTGACAAAAAAGTTGTAATATTATTTTCACGGTCACTCTAGGCCTCAAGTTCCTCTCTGAGAGTCTGGTAATGTTTGTTATTGTACACTGATTCTCCTTTTTCCACTCAGTAGATATTATTATCTGCTAGATTAGTTCCAAGCGCTGGAGTGATATATCTTATAAGTTCACTGGCACAGTTTAAAGTTCTAATATGCAAGAGAGACCGTGAAAAACATGATAAAACACAGCGGCAGAGCAATGGCCAGGTAACTACAATACCTGTAACTTGTCAATGGAGAGACTTTCTGCTAAATCTTCCTCATTTTCATCACTGCTTTCTCCTCTACTGGTTTGCTGCTCTGGACTTACAACCATCTGCACAATTTCTGAGTCAGCAAAATGATGAAATTTGAGTCAGTATAATGATGAAATTTGAAATTATGCTAGCCAAAATTACTGCTTGATTACTGAGGGAAGCAGATTACTGATTGCCGGATTAGTGATGGCTGACCTGTACTGAAACTAATGCTTGTTTATCAGTCTCCAAATCCTCACACTCTGAGAGACTACAACCACTGATTGCTTCCAGTTCTTTGGCCGTCAAATAGGAAAGCATGGGTGACTAAAGCTGTTTTCCAAGACTTGTTTTCAAGTTGTTTTTGCCCAGCTGTTGAAAACTATTGCAATGACAGCAATATCACATTTAAAGCATTACTGGTATTGGATAACATCCCAGGACATCCAACCACACATGGATCTTTTTTTTTTTTTGACACAAAACACATCATTATTGCAGCCCTTTTTTCAAGGAACCTGAAGTTTACCTGGAGAGAGTTCCAGGGTTCCAGGGGTCAATGCCCTCACAACCTGGTCTCTGACCAGGCCTCATGGTGGATCAGGGCCTGATCAACTAGGCTGTCACTGCTGGCTGCTTGCAATCCAATGTACAAACCACAGCCCGGCTGGTCAGGTACCGACTTTAGATGCTTTTCCAGTGCCTGCTTGAAGACAGCCAGGGGTCTATTCTTAATCCCTCTTATGTATACTGGGAGGCAGTTGAACAGTCTTGGGCCCCTGACACTTATTGTGTTGACTCTTAACATGCTAGTGGCACCCCTGCTTTTCATTGGGGGGGATGTTGCATCATCTGCCGAGTCTTTTGCTTTTGTAGGGAGTGATTTTTGTGTGCAAATTTGGTATTAGTCCCTCTAGGATTTTCCAGGTGTACATAATCATGCATCTCTCCTGCCTGCCTGCCAAGGAGTACAGGTTCAGGAACTTCAAGTGTTCCTGGTAATTGAAAGGTGCTGTTAGTTTGCAGCAATATTCCAGCCTAGATAGAACAAGTGACCTGAAGAGTGTCATCATGGGCTTGGCATCCCTAGTTTTGAAGGTTCTCATTATCCATCCTGTCACTTTTCTAGTAGATGCAATTCATACTGTTATGGTCCTTGAAGGTGAGATCCTCCGACATGATCACTCACATATCTTTGACATTAGTTTTTTGTTCTATTGTGTGGTTGGAATTTGTTTTACACTCTGATGAAGTTTTAATTTCCTCACATTTACCATATCGGAATAATTGAATTTTCTCATCGTTGAACTTCATATTGTTTTCTGCAGCCCATTGAAAGATTTTGTCGATGTCCACCTGGAGCCTTGAAGTGTGTGCAATGGAAGACACTGTCATGCAGATTCAGGTGTTATCTACAAAGGAAGACACGGCACTGTGGCTTATATCCCTGTCTATGTCTGATATGAGGATGAGGAACAAAATGGGAGTGAGTGCTGTGCTTTGCTGAACAGAGCTTATCACCGTAGCCACCTCAGATTTTACTCTGTTGTATACTACTCTTTGTTTTCTATTTGTCAGGAAAATACAGATCCATCTACCAACTTTTCCTGTTATTCCTTTAGCACGCATTTTGTGCGCTGTTACACCAAAGTCACACTTGTTGAAGGCTTTTGCAAAGTCTGTGTATATTACATCTGCATTCTTTTTGTCTTCTAGGGCATCCAGGACTTTGTCGTAGTGATCCAAAAGTTGGGAGAGACAGGAGCAACCTGCTGAAAACTCTGGGTTGTGTAATTGATGGGTATCTAGATGGGTAGCAATCTTGCTTCTTAGGACCCTTTCAAAGAATTTTTATGATATGGGATGTTAGCGCTATCGATCTGTAGTTCTTTGCTATTGCTTTACTGCCCCCTTTGTGGAATGGGGCTATGTCTGTTGTTTTTAGTAACTGTGGGATGACCCCAGTGTCCATGCTCCCTCTCCATAGGATGTTAACCCTTTCAGGGTTTTGGACATACTAGTACGGCTTATGCACCATTGTCCATGACATATTAGTATGCATAAATTCTAGCGCCTTCAAATCTAGTGAAAGCTGGTAGGCCTACATATGAAAGAATGGGTCTATGTGGCCAGTGTGCACAGTATAAAAAAATCCTGCAGCACACAGTGCGTAATGAGAAAAAAAAAAATTTGACCATGTTTTGGGATTAAAACAGCGACTTTGCACTTTATTTTTGTATGGTATTTATTGTTGTATTCTACTTTTCCTGGTCTCATTGTATAGAATGGAAGACATATTACAGAAATTGAGGTGATTTTGACTGGTTTTACAATGAAAAGTACCTTGAAATTGAGCTCAAAGTAGCAGAAATGTTCGATTTTTACCAAAGTTCAAAAGTAAACAAATCATGCTAAGTGTCCAATACACGTCAACTGGTGAGTCTAATATTCTTTCACAAGTGCACTGATGTTATTTATACCATTTCTACACTAATGCAGTAGTCTGCATAACAGTAAATTATATTTTTTTTGTTAGAATAAAAATTCAATGTGGAAAGCAAAAGAATGTAAGAGGGGCATGGGGACATGACTAACGAACAGAGAAAATATAATTTTAGTGCCAGGAATGTCTTTCTTGTTTATTCTGGACCCTATTTGGAAATTGGCATCTTTTGAAATTTGTGTGAAACTGGCAAAATTGCTAAATTCTGACCACTGTATTGGATAGTTGAAATTGGTAAATTGGTGGTTTCTTGTACTCATTCGATAGAAAAAATGGAGTTCTAGCAAAATAATTATGATTTTTGTCGACTAGTACATTGGAATTGGCCAAAAATGGGGCTCAAAGTGGGCAAAATCGCCGATGTGTAAACATCGTTAAGACCACTAACTGCGCAAGAGCATAATTCCGTGAGTTTTCCATCAAATTTCATACTTTTGGTGTCATTATGATCGGGAAAACATTCTCTTATCTTTTCAAAAGAAAATTTTTTTTTTTTTTTTACAATTTGGGGGACCCTGAGAACAAGTCACTGAGAGGGCCTGTGGACCCTGAAAGGGTTAAAAGCATGTGATAGGGGCTTCTTGCAGTTCTTGATGAACACAGAGTTCCATGAGTCTGGGCCTGGGACAGAGTGAATGGGCATGTCATTTATCACCTGTTCGAAGTCATTTGGCATCAGGATAACATCAGATAGGCTTGCGATAATCAAATTCTGTTGCGCTCTCAAAAAAACTTCATTTAGGTCTTCGATTCTCAGTCTGTTTAGTGGCTTGCTAAAAACTGAGTCATACTGGGACTTGAGTAGCTCACCCATTTCCTTGCTGTCATCTGTGTAGAACCCATCTTGGTTAAGTAGGGGCCCAATACTGGATGTTGTTCTCCACTTTGATTTGACATAAAAAAAGAAATACTTTGGGTTTCTTTCAATTTCATTTATGGCTTTTAGTTCTTCCCGCAATTCCTGACTCCACAGCAGTGGAGAGTGTAGGTGAAGGTGGGTAGATGCTGGTACAGTAGTGTGTGGAGAGCGTGGGTGTAGGTGGGAAGGTGCTGGTACCATAGTGGAGAGTGTAGTTGTAGGTGGGTAGGTGCTGGTACAATAGTGTGGAGAGTGTGGGTGTAGGTTGGTACGTGCTGGTACAGTAGTGGAGAGTGTAGGTTTAAGTGGGTAGGTGCTGGTACAATAGTTTGCAGAGTGTGGTGGTACAGTAAGAGTGGTAGTGTAATAAAGTACCTGGAGAGTGTGGTGGTACAGTAAGAGTGGTAGTGTAATAAAGTACCTGGAGAGTGTGGTGGTACATTAAGTGTTAGTTAATAAAGTACTTGGAGAGTGTGGTGGTACAGTAAGAGTGGTAGTGTAATAAAGTACCTGGAGAGTGTGGTGGTACAGTAAGTGTGGTAGTGTAATAAAGTACCTGGAGAGTGTTGTGGTACAGTAAGAGTGGTAGTGTAATAAAGTACCTGGAGAGTGTGGTGGTACAGTAAGAGTGGTAGTGTAATAAAGTACCTGGAGAGTGTGGTGGTACAGTAAGAGTGGTAGTGTAATAAAGTACCTGGAGAGTGTGGTGGTACAGTAAGAGTGGTAGTGTAATAAAGTACCTGGAGAGTGTGGTGGTGCAGTAAGAGTGGTAGTGTAATAAAGTACCTGGAGAGTGTGGTGGTACAGTAAGAGTGGTAATCTAATAAAGTACTTGGAGAGTGTGGTGGTACAGTAAGAGTGGTAGTGTAATAAAGTACCTGGAGAGTGTGGTGGTACAGTAAGAGTGGTAGTGTAATAAAGTACCTGGAGAGTGTGGTGGTACAGTAAGAGTGGTAGTGTAATAAAGTACCTGGATAGTGTGGGCGTGGGTGGGTGGTGGTTGGTGCTGGAGAACGTGGAGATACAGTTGACCATCTTGTAAAGTTATCCTGGAGTAGCGGAGGTCATCTTGGTCTTGCTGGACACCAAACACCAGGCCAGCCTCCACCAGCCTCTTGACGCTCTCACTCATCCCACGAAGATCATCAACCTGTGGACAGTTACCACCATTATCACCTCTTCACAGTGTCACTACCATTATCACCTGTGTACAGTATCACTACCATTAACACCCATGTGCAGTCTCAGCATCATTATTACAAGTGTACAGTGTCACTATCATGTAGAGTGTCAGCACCATTATGACAAGTGTCCAGTATCACTATCACCCATATACAGTGCCAGCACCATTATCACAGGTGTACAGTGTTATGATAATGTTTGCTTCAGCATGATAGTGTTTGAACAAATGAGAATGACAAAAGCCACTATATATGCAGAACATTTTGGCCAAACTTAAGATTAATAAGGCAATAACAATACAGTGTAAATTTAGGTGTTTACAATGAATAAAATATAAGTGAATATTGTATTAGTTCAGACTACATGACTTGAACAAGTTTACTTGAGGGGAATTACAAGTTTCATTATAAACCTAAATTGTACAAAATTGTTTAATGATAGTGAGAGTTACAGATACGGTGGAACCTCGATTTTTGTGATTAATCTGTTCCAGAGAGTCTACCAAAAGTCGAAATTCATGAGAATCGAAACCATTTTTCTTATAAGAAATAATGTAAATCCAATTAATCTGTTCCAGACACCCAAAAATATTTTTTTATGGATTAATATAGATTTACATATATAAAGGAATGAGAAATCAATATAAAGCAATAATAAAATGTATAAAAGATCATTTAACATCACACTTACCTTTATTGAAGACTCTTTTGGTGTATGGAAGACGGGAGGATGGGAGAGGGTTAGGGTGATGTTCCTCCACAAATGTTTGCACTTCACCCCACTTTGCAAAATGACTTTAATCTTTAACCCTTTGAGGGTTTCGGACGTACTAGTATGGCTTACACGCAGGGGTTTTTGACGTACTAGTATGCATAAATTCTAACCGTCAAATCTCACGGGAAAAGGCTGGTAGGCCTAGATGTGAGAGAATGGGTCTGTGTGGTCGGTGTGCATGGCAGAAAAAAAATCTGGGACCCAGTGGTGCATTGTGGGAATGCCATCTTAGTACACAATGTCCACCATGCCTCGCGGTAAGAAGTTCCTCACTCCTCGGCAAATTGGGACACTTTTGTTCCCCAGTGACAGTTCTAATACAGATGGAAGTGCCAGTGAAGATGAGTTTCAAGGTTTTGGTGAGGTTTTGACCGAAACTAATGACCATAATATCAGTAATAGTGAGGAAAACCCAGACGACCCTCAGCCTTCCACCTCTGGTGCTGGGCCATCTTGTTCACGTTCAGTTGTACCAGAATCAAAGAGGAAACTGCTATTTTCCCAAATCCCAGACTCAGATGTGAGCATTTGTGATGATAATGATAGTGATTATGAACTACAAGCTCTTGAAAACAGTTCCAGTAGTGATAGTGAAGTGGAATATTCCCCAGCGAAGGGGTCCAGTCCCTGGACCCATTATGTACCTTTGTAATCTTTTGACTACCGCCCACAGGATGGGTATGGGGTGCATAATAAAGACATTAAACTAACTAACCCCAGTGAAGCATCAGTATATACAATGATATATGCGCTCTGGTAGTGTGCCATATGCTATTCCAAGGGGAAGGAGTACATCTCGGAGTACATCCCGTGGCTGTACAACAGGAACAGACAGTGAAAATGACGATGATAGTGTTGCAATTGGGATGGAAAATGTGCATGGTGGTGGTAGTGGTGGTGATGGCCGTGAGACACCAGCAGTGGGCCATGCTGCCACCCACGCCGCTGCCTCAGCTGATCTACAACAAAGGCCACAATCCCCCACCCACCCACCACACCAGCCTCCACAACCACAACCTCCACAACCACAACCACCTGTCATTGTCCAGTACCCACCAGCAGACTGCACCTGGGATTGGCAGGAAGCTGTCAATTTTGTTCCAAATGCCCACCAGTTTGATGACAGCCAAAGTGGAATACGGCCATCTTGTACACTTGGGAACAATGCCACTGAACTGGAATGTTTCGAGTTATTCTTTGACGAATCCCTGATGGAAAGTATTGTCATGGAAAGCAACACATACTACGAGTACACCATGGCAAACACAATACTTTCACCAAAATCACATCTACACCAGTGGAAGGAGGCAACTGTGGCTGAGATGTTTCTTTTCTTTGACACAATAATGCTTATGCCACATGTGTATAAGCACAAAGTGAAGTCATACTGGTCAACAGACCGCCTGATTGCAACCCCAGGTTTCAGTGATATAATGCCAGTGAATCGATTTGTGCTAATGTTACGTATGCTTCACTTCTCAGACAAAACCAGGCCTGACAGAAACAACGGGTTATATAAGATTAGGCATGTGCTTGTGTATCTGAAAGAGAAATTCAATATGTATTTTTATCCCTTCAGGAAGCTTGTAATTGACGAGTCTTTGATTCTGTTCAAAGGAAGACTCTCTTTCAAGCAGTACATGCCAACCAAACTCATAACTATTTCTTTAGAACTCCATTTATTCTATCGATTTAGTACAAGAAACTGCCCATTTGCTGATTTCAACTACCCAATAAAGAGGTCAGAAATTGGAAATTTGGCCAATTTCATGCAAATTAAAAAGTATGCCAGTTTCAAAATAGTGCCTAGAATGAACAATGTAGACATTCCTGGTTCTAAAATAACATTTTCTTTGTTCATCAGTCACATCTCCAGGCCCCTCTGATATTACTCTTGCTTTCTATTTTGAATTTTTATTCAAACAAAAAATTTTTTACTGTTATGCAGACTACTGCAATATTGTAATAATTGTGTAAATAACATCAACCCATTCATGACTGTATATTAGAATGGCTAGTTGGACATTTAGTGGACAATGACATCATTTGTTTACACTTGAACATTGGCAACAATCAAACATTTCTCCTAATTTGAGCTCCATTTCAAGGTCCTTTTCTTAGTAAAATCAATCAAAATCACCTTTATTTCTATAACATGTTTTCCATTCTATCAAATGTGACTATGAAAATGAGAATATAACCATAAAAACTATTCAAAAATCCACCTCAAAGTCGGCATTTTAATCAAACAACCCATGGTCGGAGTTTTTTTTTTTTTCATTATCACTGCGTCTGCAGTATTTCTTTATAGGTGCACATTGACCACACAGACCCATTCTCTCACATGTGGGCCTACCATCTTTCTCCTTGATTTGAAGCTGCTAGAATTTATGAGTAAATATATGTCAAACATATTGGCTCGAAGATGTATATAATATATGACTGAAACAGTAAAAGGGGTTAAAGAAAGCACCTTCTTTCCTCTCTCTTCCACCTCCTCTGAAGCAATTTCCTCAGCTGGTGTACGAAGAACATACAAAAGCGGGAACACTGCAGCGGGCCTGTGGCCCTACTAGGCAGGTTCTTCACAAACCATCCCACTAACAATATTTTGCCCAACCCAATTTTAAATGCTTCCCAAGCAATAAGCGAGTCCCACTCAAATCAAATCGAGTGTGTGGGGAAGTACCGTGGCTGGTTTGTAGGGTGAAGTACCCTGGCGGGTGTATGTGGGAAGTACCCTGGCTGGTTTGTGTGGGGAAGTACCCTGGCTGGTGTGTGTGGGGAAGTACCCTGGCTGTTGTGTGGGGAAGTACCCTGGCTGGTGAAATGTGGGGAAGTACCCAGGCTGGTTGTGTGGGGAAGTACCCTGGCTGGTGTATGTGGGGAAGTACCCTGGCTGGTTTGTATGTGAAGTACCCTGGCTGGTGTATGTGGGGAAGTACCCTGGCTGGTTTGGTGTGGGGAAGTACCCTGGCTGGTGTGTTTTGGGGAAGTGCCATGGCTGGTTTGTGTAGGGAAGTACTCTGGCTGGGTATGTAGGAAGTACCCTGGCGGTGTGGGGAAGTACCCTGGCGGGTGCATGGGGAAGTACTCTTTGCTGGTTTGGGGTGAAAGTAACCTGGCTGGTGTTTTGTGGGGAAGTACCCTGGCTGGTGTGTGTGGGAAGTGCCCTGGCTGGTTTGTGTAGGGAAGTACTCTGGCTGGTGTATGTGAGAAGTACCCTGCTGGTGTGGGGAAGTACCCTTGCTGGTGCATGGGGAAGTACTCTTGCGGGTTTGGTGAGAAGTAACCGGGCTGGTTTGTGTGGGGAAGTACCCTGGCTGGTGTGTGTGGGAAAGTACCCTGGCTATGTGTGGTGAAGTACCCTGGCTGATTTGTGTGGGAAGTACTCTGGATGGTTTGTGTTGGGAAGTACCCCTGGCTGGTGTGAGGGAAGTGCCCTGGCGTTGTGGGGAAAGTACCCTTGGTGGTTTGTGTGGGAAGTACCCGGGCTGGTGTGTGGGGAAGAAACCATGGCTGATTTTTGTGGGAAAGTACCCTGGTTGGTTTGTGTGAGGAAGTACCCTGGCGGTGTGAGGGAAGTACCCGGGCTTGTGTGAGGGAAGTAACCCTTGCTGGAGTGGGGGGAAAGTACCCTGGCTGTTTGTGTGGGGAAGTACACTGGCTGGTGTGTGTTGGTAAGCACCCTGGCTAGTGTGTGGGAAGTACCCTGGCTGTTTGTGTGGGAAGTACCCTGGTTGGTTTGTGTGGGGAAATACCCTGGCTGGTGTAAGGGCAAGTACCATGGCTGTTGTGGGGAAGTACCCTGGCTGGTGTGAGGGGGAAGTACCCTGGCTGGTTTGTGTGGGTAAGTACCCTGGCTGGTGTGAGGGGAAGTACCCTGGCTGTTGTGGGGAAGTACCCTGGCTGTTGTGGGGAAGTACCCTGGCTGGTGTGAGGGGGAAGTACCCTGGCTGGTTTGTGTGGGTAAGTACCCTGGCTGGTGTGAGGGGAAGTACCCTGGCTGTTGTGAGGAAGTACCCTGGCTGTTGTGGGGAAGTACCCTGGCTGGTGTGTTCTTGAAATCAAATCATGTTTCCTCCCCTTTTACCAAAGGGCTGGAAACTGGGAACTTCCTTTTGGCCCATGGTGGTTTATTTAGTAGTTGCAAGCACAAAAACAATGATTATGAAATTTATCTTATGAACACGTGGGGTGACGGTCACTCACTGAGAAACAATGCCACACTGACTCTGAATGGTGCGTGTGGGAGGTTTGTTTGCATGCAGCTGATGTGATGCTCTCCATACCACCGCTGAATTCAGAGGAAAAACATAAAAACTGGGGCAATATTTTCATGAAAAAAGTTGTAAATAATAGAAATTTCACGAAAATTGATACTCCACGAAATTCGGGGGTCCACTGCATTGAGAGTAAGTATATATTGTTTAAACTGTTTTTTACATATGTTCTGAATATAGAGAATATGCATGAATAGTTTCTACATAACGATTTCGTGAGTCATGATGACGGCAGTGGGGGGACTTGAGCTAGAGTTTGTCACAGCCACGCTAGCTGGAGATTCGTCTGTAAAAACTTGCATTTTTTGGTCACAGTGATGCCTATGCTAACCTCCTATGGTTAGAAATATACCTATTTGGGACGAATCTTATTGTGGCTAGCGGTCCAGTGGCTAACGTGACAGTCTGGAGTTTTGAGAACTCTCTGGACCGCGGGTTAAATCCCGCCCATGGTATGGTATTTTTTTTTAAGGCTAATTTGTGTGTGATATGGAAGGCAAACAGTAAGGAAAGGTCACTAGGACATTTTCCCTAAACTGGTTCTATCATGTGTTTGGTCCCACTGTGAAAAAATACCTCCTAAAAATAAATTGGACCTCAAGTGCCACCTGGTATTAGACAATGCTCCTGCTCATCCTCCAGACTTGCAAGAGTGAATTGTGGGGGAGTTGATTTTCATAAAAGTCGGGTTTTTGCCTCCTAACATCACTCCCTCTCCTCCAGCCCATGGACCAGCAGGTCATTTCAAATTTCAAAAAACTGTACACCTAAGCAGTGTTTCAAAAGTGCTTTGAAGTGACCTCAACACTGAATTGACCCTAAGAGTATTTTGGAAAGATCACTTCAGTATCCTCATTGCATAAACCTTATAAGGTAAGGCTTGGGGGGATTAAACTTGCGGGACTTTGAACTCTGCTTGGGGGAAAATTGTGGCCATATGTACAAGAGAGGGATTTTGAAGGATTTTGGGCTAATCCTGAGGAGCCTATACAGTTTGGAATCAAATTGTATCATTGGGGAAGTCCATGGGGTTGGGGGTTTAGTTGTGAGGATGTGGAAGAGTTTGTGGAGAACGATGATGAAGAACTAACCACTAATGAGCTGCAAGAGCAATCTGCAACAGCAAGAGACCACAGCTGAGAAATTGTTTCAGAGGAGGGGAGAGAGAAATAGAGGAAGTTGCCTTCTTCAACAATTAAGGACATTTGTACAATGTGGACAAAGGTGCATGCCTTTTAAATGGGTGAACATCACTCCAACACAGCTTTTTGCAAGCTGTGCTGGTGACTTTTCCCAACGACAATGTTGTGTCCCAATTTAGGGAAATCTTAAAGGAACGCCAGAAACAGAGCACTATGGACAGATTTTTGGTGCGACTGAGGTCCAGTGACTGTCAAGTTTTTTCCCAGTAGCATTTTAAACAAAGAAAGGGAATAACCCGTAAAAGGACTTGCCCACCTAAAGTCCTTATGGAAGGGGATTCCCCTTCCAACAAATATAACACCTCCATCACTCCCCTTCTCCCATCTCATCACTCATCAATAAATCTTCAGTAAAGATAAGTGTCATTATTCTTCATCTATTTATTCCCTTTATGTCTCATTGTTTTTCTGTGTAGGGAAAAAGTAAATTTCATTTGAAATTTTTTTCTTCTAATACGTACTTTCGTGTGTCTGGAACAGATTAATTTGATTTCCATTATATCTATGGGGGAAAATTAATTCTGCTAACAATAAAATCATTAAGGACAAGCTCTCTGGAATGGAATAATATTGTAACCCGAGGGGTCCACTGTATATATGTCTCGACGCTGTTGCTTGATACCTTTGATATACCTTTTAAAAGTTTCAAGAGTTTATCTACTCTCTGAGCCCGGCCATGGCCAGGCTCGTCGGTACTTCCCGGCACCCAGGCTGTTGCTGCTGGAAGCCCACTGCCCCCAATATCCAAACACGCCTGGTGATCTGGCACCTGGTGAAATACTTCTCCAGTTTCCTCTTGAAAGCTTCTACACTTCTACACTTGATCTCCACATTGTTTGAGAGTATGGAACAGAACTCTTCTCCAGGCTGAGGGACTGACAACCTCAAATCTCCAACTTCAAGGGTGATGGACTGATAACATCGTCTTCACATCTCTACTACTCCTGCCTACTTTCTGTACTCAACTGAAGAAGTCTACTGTGTAGGTGAAACGTTTTGGATTTAAATAATTTTAACTGTTGCCTAATTTTTCTTGCTTACCAATGTTTTAGAGATGGTGGAGTATGTAAGAAACTTTTTGACGGAAGATGTAAGATTATTGCCACTCCACTTGTGACAGTGTAGCAGTTCAGTGACACTTGATGATCATGCACTGCTGACAGTGTAGCAGTTCAGTGACACTTGATGATCATGCACTGCTGACAGTGCAGCAGTTCAGTGACACTTGATGATCATGCACTGCTCCAGAGAACCCATAATTTATTTCTTTTCACTGTTATACATTAAACATGTAACATGTCTATCTGTCTGCTTATCTGTCTTTCTGTCTGCCTATGTGTCTTCCTGTGTCTCTGTCTGTCTCTCTGTATCAGAGAGAACACCACTCATGAACCAAGAGGTATTACACACGATGCAGAGTCGTCATGTCTGGTTCCTGATCAAGTGAAAAATGTGTATTACTTGCCAGTCATGCTTATTATGTCTTATATCTACAAGCACAGTATCACACTTTGTCTTATATCTACAAGCACAGTATCACACTTGTCTTATATCTACAAGCACAGTATCACACTTTGTCTTATATCTACAAGCACAGTATCACACTTGTCTTATATCTACAAGCACAGTATCACACTTTGTCTGGGTTTTTTGGTGTTATCCTATGTAATTTATACTATGTATGATAACTGTACTTATGTGCACCTGTGAGATACAGGAAGAGACAGAGATGGGGATAGACTGAGACAGAGATATATACAAACAGAGATAGACAGAGATATATGCAAATGGAGATAGATACAGACAGCAATAGATACAGACAGAAATAATAGAGACAACCAAAGTCAATCAGCCACCCACCTACCCGGCCAGCCAGCCTGCTGAACACATATTACACATTCCAGAATTATTTCTCTTTACTTAGGGCGTATGCTATAGGATATTCTGGCAGGATGACACTACTAGTGGTATTAAAAATGAAAGGATGTTGCACAAATGTTGCACCTGGGTTATTATTGAGGTTTTTGATATTTCCTCATCCACTTGTGGAAACATCCATCTCAAAGCCACTAAACTCAGGGTCAACTCCTCTTAATAGGGAAGTGCTAATATAACATGACATCAGTGAATCCCTGGTGTTTGCCATGTTCTTTGTTCTAGATGGCACTCAATTGAACTGGTGCTCCCACAAGGTACTAAGTGGTCCCAGATTTTTTAATACTGCACACACTGGGTGTTCAGACCCATTCTATACTTACCAGGCATCTTAGGTCATTTGAGGCAAATTTGGAGGCAGGAAAGATAAAACGTTGATCTACATTTGGAGCACCAGCAGTAACAAAGTAGATCTACATATGGACAGTTAAGAGTTTAAATATTATGTATTACATTTGGGAGTGGGAGCCAGGTCTACCTACACCTGACTTTCTACAAATAAATACTACTCACTCTTCACCCTTCATTAAGACTACAAATATTTTAAAATAATGAATATACTGTGTATGTATTTTACTTTTTATTGTTTTTAATGCCAAGTTCTACTGTTAGCATAATACAGCTTCCGATGACTCGGACTTACGATGGTCTCTCTGACCAGTGTACATACCTAAATAATGTATATTAGAGCTGAAATTTTCCCTTTTTTTTGTTTTTTTACAATATACAGTATACTGCTGTATAAACGTTCAAAAATATAACAGAAATGTTATAAATGGTGCAAAGATGACATTAAAACATTATCAACAATGGTTGACACAAACCCACTACCATTATAGTATGCTCCTCACTTAGTGACGAATTTGTTTACCAATGTTGCCTTTGGACCAGAACTCCGTTGTTAAAGTGAGGAGAGGCTGTATAGTTATTGTAAACTTATCTGCTATTTGTATGCATTATAAGCAGAAAAAAAGCATTTTGGGTTACTGGCAATGCCCGCTTCTGACGATAACCTTAAACCTAACCTGCTGTATGAGTGGGCCCTACATAGCCTTAAACCTAACCTGCTGTATGAGTGTGCCCTACAGTACCTTAAACCTAACCTGCTGTATGAGTGGGGCCCTACGTAGCCTTAAACCTAACCTGCTGTTATGAGTGGGGCCCTACTGTTCAATAGTTGGGTAACCCCACGAACAACTTTCTTATAATCAGTAGTCATAAATTAACTTAGCTTTTGGGGTTTGTTAGTGACTTTATTATAGAAGTAATGTATGCAGAATTAGTTTGGAATAGGTAGAGGGAAGTATGATAGTTATCAGTTAGGTAATAACTAAACTGGGCTTGAGAGTTCAGAACTTTTTGGCTATATTTATTACTAGTTTGGGGAAGAAGTCATTCAGTTTTATTTACTGTTTCAGAGAGTTTGGGGAGGAGGTTCAGTTGGTTTAGTTTATACAATGTCTATTTTTGTGACTATGACAACTGTAAGGAATATTAGAATAACCTGTCAGTCAAAAAATATTATGAAAAGTTGTGTATAAATAAGTTAGGTAGCAAGTTTGTTACCATAATTATAGAATAAGAAAGTAGGTAATTTTTTAAAAAAGAAAATCTTGATGATCATGTTATCATGACTCATATTATATAACATAAAAAGTGAACAAAGACTTTCAACTTACAGTTAATGTCGCTGGAGGGCTTTCACCAATAATTATCTTAACTTTCTCCATGATGGTGGTGGCTGAGTCTCCCTGGAGAACAGTGGCAGCTGTGGCACCTGTCTCTGTGGTGATGGTGTCCAGGGCCTTTTTAATGGTCTCCTGTACCTGTCATTACCAACACCCAAAAATTAATGCGGATGTCAGCAACAATTTGTCCCCACTTTTGACACTTACACAACTGTTGATTACTTAAGACTTATGTCTTAAAATATCACTCACAACCCCCCTTCAACCCTTCCTAATATATCCCCTGTACCTTCCTTCAACCCTTCCTAATATATCCCCTGTACCTCCCTTCAACCCTTCCTAATATATCCCCTGTACATTCCTTCAACCCTTCTTAATATATCCCCTGTACCTCCTTTCAACCCTTCTTAATATACCCCCTGTCCATTCCTTCAACCCTTCCAAAAATATCCCCTGTAACCTCCATTCAACCCTTCCTAATATATCCCCTGTACCTCCATTCAACCCTTCCCAATATATCCCCTGTACCTTCCTTCAACCTTCCTAACATATCCACTGTACCAAACTTCAAACCCTTTCCCAATTTTCCCCTGTACCTTCCTTCAACCCTTCCTAATACATCCCCCTTTCCTTCCTTCAACCCTTCCCAATATATCCTCTGTACCTCCCTTCAACCCTTCTTAATATATCCACTGTACCTCCCTTCAACCCTTCCTAGGATATCCCCTGTACCTCCCTTCTACCCTTCCTAGGATAACCCCTGTACCTTCCTTCAACCCTTCCTAGGATATCCCTTGTACCTTCCTTCAACCCTTCCTAGCACATCACCTGTAACTATTCTTCAACCTTCCTTGGATATCTCTTGAAGCAACCACCTAGGGAGGTACTACCATCCTGTGGGAGTAGGTTTATAGACAGCAATCACCCTGGGAGGTACTGTGATCCTGTGGTAGTAGGTTGGTAGATAGCAACCACCCAGGGAGGTACTACCATCCTGTGGTAGTAGGTTGGAAGACAGCAACCACCCAGGGAGGTACTACCATCCTGTGGTAGTAGGTTGGTACAGAGGACCCACCCAGGGAGGCATTACCATCCTGTGGTAGGTTTATAGACAGCAATCACCCTGGGAGGTACTGTGATCCTGTGCTAGTAGGTTGGTAGACAGCAACCACACCCATGGGGGTACTGCCACATGTGGTAGTAAGTTGGTAGATAGCAACCACCCTGGGAGGTACTACCATCCTGTGGTAGTAGGTTGGTAGACAGCAACCACCCAGGGAAGTACTATCATCCTGTGGTAGTAGGTTTGCAGACAGCAACCACCCAGGGAGGTACTACAATCCTGTGGTAGTAGGTTTGTAAACAGCAACCACCCAGGGAGGTACTACCATCCTGTTGTAATTGGTTGGTAGACAGCAACCACCCAGGGAGGTACTACCATCCTGTGGTAGTAGGTTTTAGACAGCAACCACCCAGGGAGGTACTACCATCCTTTGGTAGTAGGTTGGAGAACAGAAACCTCCCAGGGAGGTACTACCACCCCTGTGGTAGTAGGTTGGTAGACAGCAACCCCCAGGAGGTACTACCACCCCTTGGTAGAAGTTGGCAGACATCTGCCCACCCAGGGAGGTACTACCATCCTGTGGTAGTAGGTTGGTAGATAGCAACCACCCAGGGAGGTACTACTATGCTGTGGTAGTAGGTTGGTAGACAGCAACCACCCAGGGAGGTACTACTATGCTGTGGTAGTAGGTTGGTAGACAGTAACCACCCAGGGAGGTACTACTATGCTGTGGTAGTAGGTTGGTAGATAGCAACCACCCAGGGGTACTCCCCATCCTGTGGTAGTGGGTTTTTGGTAGTTTAGCAACCACCCAGGGGGGTACTACTATGCTGTGGTAGTAGGTTTGTAGACAGCAACCACCCAGGAGGTACTACCACCCTGTGGAAAGTGGGTTTGGGTAGACAGTAACCCCCCAGGGAGGTACTACTATCGTGGTAGTGTTGGTAGACGAAACCACCCGGGGAGGTACTACTATCTGTGGGTGGTTTGGTAGACAGAAACCCCCCCAGGGGGTACACTATGCTGGGTATGGGTTTGGAAACACAACCACCCGGGAGGTACTACTTCCACCAAAGATGTAAACGAAGCCTGTAATTTTTACAAAGGATGATTGCGGGTTTTTTTTTTCTGTCACAAAAATAGCAAATTTCAAGAATATCTTGCTAATTCTACTTCCCTTGGGTCACACTCACATGCATGACAAACACACCCCTTTGGTTTTCTTCTCTTTTTTTTAAAGGCTTTTTTCTTGTTTATTTCCTGTTATTTCCATGGGAAGTGGAAGAAATTCCCCTTAAAACCGCGTTCATAAAGGTAACTAAAATGTCGGGAGCAAAAAGCTAGTAACCCCTTATCCGTATACAATCAAAATTTTTATAAAGAACTTTTTTTTTTTTTTTGGGCCACCCCCCCTTCAGGGGGATATGGCCAGTGAAATGAAAGAAGGAAGATTAAATATTTAATAAAGATAATTTAAAGGGGACGACGGGGTTTTTTAATGCGCGCAGTACAAAAATAATTAAAAAATAGGAAAAATAATTTTGTTGACAAAAAAAAAGTTTAAGAACTGGCAACATTTTGGTGAAAATCACTTTTTAATATTTGCTCTTTAAAGTTTAATATTTACATAACACAATCAATATAAAAAAATAAATTTAAGAAATTTTTTTAGAAAGTTCAAAAAATTTTGTGGCATCTACCTTTACTGGGGTAGACAGGTTACATCGGGGAAGATTTCCCTTTGGCACTTCTGATCCAATTTTAAACCTCCATTGTAGTGACAGCTTCACAATGGTTGTGAAGACCCTGTGCAGTGTTGACTGTGTTGGGGTTCTCCACATGGTCTGCAGCTGCTTCTTCCTGACTCCCCTTTCGTTGTCTTGCCCTACACTGCTATCCTCCTTTTCCAGGAGCTCTATTGCTGCCGTTGTTCTCTCCACAGATCATAGATCTGTCCTGCATTGGTGAGCTGGGTTTTCCCAGCCCCTCACCTGCCCCTGGTACTTGCTCACGGGGACAGTTCTTCTCACACCACTTATAAGGTTACGATCTGCTCTTGTGTTCCTGTACCAAAGACTGAACTTCTTTTTTTAGCTTCATGTGCGGTCTTGACCACATTTTGTTGAACTGTTCCCCTGATGTAACCTTGATACTCGAGTTTTTTTATCACACCTCCATAGTGTAGCTGTTGGGGAACTGAGTAGCATCTTTGACTGTGCTCAGCAGGGCAGCTGGGCATTGACGAGAGTTTTTGATTGTATTTTCAATACACTGTGGCAAATGTGTGACCACCGGCAGTTGCGTGGTCGTCGTAGTTCTTCATCATAATTGTTAAAGCACATTTTACACTCCTCGGTTTGTCGTTACCGTGAAAATAAATATTGTTAGATTTTACACTAATAGATTGAATCTAAAGAATTAAGTTTCATATTGAATTTATGAAAATTTTGTAAATTTAAAAAATGCCAAACTTCTTCACTTTAACAAACCAATACAAAAAAACACGGAGGATATTTTTGTCAAACTTCTAAAATTTTAACCATCACATACAACAAATGGGGGTTATTTGTCGAACTTCTAAAATTTTAACCATCATATCAACATAATGGAGGTATATATTTCGAACACTTCATATTAACCAACCCCAAAATAAACATAATGGGGGCAAAATTTTGCTAAAATTTCATTTTAACTACTACTATAAAAAAACCAACATAAAACAACTTAGTGAGCTGTATTGGTTTTCATGACCAGACATACAAAGAAAAACAATACAATAATGCTTTGAGATTTTTTTTTTATTAATTTTAGACAGAGTTTACAAGGTTGGGTTAAAGGGGTTCCTAACTTTTTTGAAAATTTAAAGCTGTTACCTACATCAACCTTTTAAAAACCTTTTTTTATTATTATGAGACATACACATACAAAAAAAGATCAGTTTTAGTTAACTGGGGCAGTGATTTTTTTTGGCCAACTGACTTTTCTGTGAGTTATTATGCTTACAAACATATTTCAGACCAAGAATCCTGGGAAAAATTATCTCAGATGAAGTGATGTCTGGGGAAAACTACAATGTAAAGCCCTGCACTGTCTTGTTTTTAGAAGCCATTTCCCGCTGTCTGTGGGGTGGGAAGCCAGTTGGTACTTAGACAAATTAGCCTTTTACATAACATAAGGCCACCCCATCTCCGTGTTGAAGACTCACGAAAACAGATCTTCCGGAGACAGGGAGTTTTTTTTGCTCTGTTCCTATTTTGTCAAAAAATCTCAATGTGAAGGGGAGCAAGAAAACCAAGAAAGTGGGGCATACTCAAAGTGCATTCCTTATGCTTTTACAGAATCTTGCAGCCCCCTTTCTCTGAGCAGATAAAAAATTACTAAGTAAAGGGCTCCCAACCCCTTTGCAATCAATTGTGGTTTTCTGTTTGAACAAATTTTACCCCAAGGCCACACTCTTTCAATCTCTTACCACAGCTTCACATTACCCTCTGGGGCCTAGAGACCATAATTTTGGGATATCTCAGGCAAATGTGACCCCCCATCATTTTTTCTAGGTTTAGGGGTCCTATCTTTTTTGCCCGCCTCTCGCCTTTACAAACGAGGTCGGGGGGCAGTCAGAACAAAAAATTGGGATAAAATCACAAAACTACCATAAAAAGATTTATCAAACAAGAAAATTATATAAAATTAAAAAAAAGAAAAAAAAAGGTTTATTGGGACATTTCTGCAATGGGTTACTCCACATTGCCGCAGGTGACACCACGCCAGCTTTTCTGCCTTTTAAACTTGGGAATTTTTGGGACAAATGTTTTTCCTTTTTCACACAGAAAATGCCCTCTTTGTTTCTAAAAAAAAAAAAAATTTTCAAAACGCAACAGTGAAATGTGATCACTCTTAAACAGTTTAAGGAAAGTATGGATGGAAAAGTTGAAAATTCTGTGATTTGTTAATTTAAAAGAGTTGCAATTGAGGGTAATGGCCATGAGGGGTTTTTCATTAATGGGAAAGTTACTTGGGTTTCCTGTCTTTTTTTCAGATGACTTATTCCAAATTTTTGCAAATTTTTAGATACTAA